GGCTCCCTGCTCGGCAGGAAGCCTGCTTCTCCCTCTCCCACTCCCCCTGCTTGTGTTCCCTCTCTTGCTATGTCTCTGTCGAATAAATAAATAAAATCTTTAAAATATATATATATAGGCATTTTCTTACATAACCACAATGCTATTATCAGACTGCAAATTTGACAAAATTGTCCCAAGACTTTCTAAAACACAGTCCAATTTTTTAACTAAATTTTTAAAATTAAAATTAAATCGTTCTCAATTGTCTCAAAGTTATCTTTTTTTTTTTTAAGATTTTTTTTATTTATTTGACAGAGAAAGACACAGCGAGAGAGGGAACCCAAGCATGGGGAGTGGGAGAGGGAGAAGCAGGCTTCCCAAGGAGCAGGGAGCCCGATGTGGGGCTCGATCCCAGGACGCTGGGATCATGACCTGAGCCGAAGGCAGATGCTTAACGACTGAGCCACCCAGGCGCCCCTAAAGTTATCTTTTTTTAACAGGAGTTGTTTGAATCAGTTATGTAAATAAGGTCTGAATGTTACATTTTGTCATTGTATCTGCTAAGTCTCTTTTTATCTCAAGTAGTCCCCCACAACATTTAAACTTGCGCAATTAATTGACTTGCACAAAAACTGGGTCAGCTGTTCTGCACTATGTTGCACCTTCTGGACTTCTCTTATGCCTGCCTGTGGTGTCATTTAACCTGTTCCCCATCTGTACTTCCTACGAAGAGAAGTTACCTATGTTTTGAGGACACTCAACTCTTTTGACAGGATACTCCTAGAAAGCTGTATGCTTCATGTTATGTCACATCAGGTGGCGCACGAGGTCTCATTTGTACTTGTGTGGCGTTAACAAACAACAACAAGCCCAACATGGAGTCCCTTGGGTCTGAGCCCCGCATCAGCAAACCAAGACTTCACATCTAACCTCATTGCAGTGTCTGCCTCTCCCAGGAATGTGACCTGCAACCACTCAATCCGGAATTACCCGGTGGGCACTAGCGAGGTCATCTGCCTGATAGACCCTGACCCTCCCCACAACAGGTGGCTATAAAATACTTGTAATGTGATAGTATTGTTATTTAAAAAAAAAACCCAAACCTCCTTACGGTATGATTTCTATCTCTATAAAGATTTTAGTTGGAAAACAAATAATGTGTTAATAAGAGAAAACAGGGGATACATTTCTTTAAAAGTCAGACTAAGAAGTTGTCTTTCAAAAAAATGTTGTCCCATCTCATGCAACTAATAGTTTTTCCAGTCATTTTGGCTTTTTATTTTCTCCTTCTAATCTTATCATCTGTGTGGTTCACAGATACTTTTGCCATGACTATTTAACCAAATCGGGAAGGGGTGCGAGCCCTATGACATCAAGTTACCCTACAGCAACTTCTTCAGCCTGAACTTAGAAAATTCAAGGACTTTTTGGGCCAGAAGCATATAAAATGAAAACTAAATGGGAGCAAGCTGCAAACATCTCTAGGGAAAAAAAAAAATTTATTTCTGACCTTAGAAGGAATGCTTCTAGTATATTTCTTTTTTTTTTTAAATATTTTATTCATTTATTTGTCAGAGAGAGAGCACAAGCAGGGGGAGTGGAAGGCAGAGGCAGAGGGAGAAGCAGGCTCCCTGCTGAGCAAGGAGCCTGATATGGGACTCGATCCCAGGACCCTGGGATCACGACCTGAGCTGAAGGCAGCAGCTTAACCGACTGAGCCACCCAGGCATCCCACTTCTAGTATATTTCATCAAGTATTAAAATGGGGATGCCTGGCTGGCTCAGT